GAAGCAGACAGGGCAGCTGGGGAGACGAGCGCCCCGCGGAGTGATGGCCCAGGGTGTGCACTGGAGTCACCGCGACCGATGTGGCAAGGAGGAGAGGCCGGTCAGCTCACCTGCGGTCAGCTCTGCCCTGTGTGTCTGCCCTGTGTTTTTATTTTTAAAAACTAATAGAAATTTTGGAAAGCATGCACTGGCATACACAAGGCCCTGGTTTCAGTTCCTAGGCAGGAAAGTGTGTGATTCCATAGCTGGTGTCCTCCGAGAGAATGTACAGCAGGTATTGCACTGGTGTCCCGTGCCCACATCCCTTCCACACCAATTAAAAACAATTAAAAATGACTGGACATGGTAGCACACAGTGGTAATCCCAGCACTCAGGAGGCTGAGGCAGGAGGATTGCCATGAGTTTAAGGCCAGCCTGGGCTCCATAGTGAGTTCAAGGCCAGTCTGGACTGCAGAGTAAGACCCTGTCTCAACTCCCCCCACCAAAAACAAGATTCAAACGTCCACACCCCTTTACAGAGGATGCGTTAGGCCTCTTTCTCTGCTGCCCAACTCTTCTATGGAACTTGGGGTATCAAGAACGACTGCCACCTCCCATCTCGCTGGTGCCCAGAAGAAACCTTTCAGAAATAAAATCCAGACTGTGAAGCAAAATCGAGTCTAAGTGCTAAGTGCTGAAGAGAAAAATGAACTAGGGAAGGGGAAAGCAGTGGGGATGAGGTTTCCCTGAGGTTGGGAAGAGTCTCAGCCGCTCAGGGTATCTGAGGGGACAGGAAATAAACTCAGGGCTGGGCCGTAAGGGTACACGAGACCGGGCCTTCCGGGCTCAAACAGGGCAGCACGAGCGTTGTATGAGAGCAAACCGCACTGAACCAAGGTGGCACGGGGGTGGGGCACCGCCTGGTACCCGGGGAGGAGAGGCCACAAGCTCCTGGGACGGCCAGGCTCCCAGGTCTTCGGTGAGTGACCGGAAGGAAGACACTGAGTGTGGGAGGTGGGGACCCAGCGTCCACAGACAGGGAGAAGACTGCGTGTGCACCAGTGGGAGGGAGGAGGAGGCTTCAGGGACCGCGAGCAGGAGGGCAGGGACTCAAACCCGCATCAGAAAAGCCCCGCCTGTGTCCCACGTTCACTGATCCGCCTAAACCCGATTCTGCCTGGTGGGATAAACATTTTGTATACAGCTTCCTCTGACTTCGAATTTGATTTTTTTTCTTCTTTTTTTTTTTTTTTTTTTTTTTTTTTGTACTGGGGATCAAACTGGGGTCCTTGTCCTTACCAGGCAGGCAGTGGAACCACTGAGCTACATACCCGGCCCTAAAGACTTTTTTTTTTTTTTTTTGTACTGGGGATCAAACTGGGGTCCTTGTCCTTACCAGGCAGGCAGTGGAACCACTGAGCTACATACCCGGCCCTAAAGACTTTTTTTTTTTTTTTTAAACAGGAAAGATGGTTCATTCAAAATCTCTTTGGTATAAATCTCTTTGGCTGTAACGCAGCCAAAAAAGAAAAATATGAGTGGACTGGAAGGCAGAAGCTTCTGGTCCTGAATCCTATGTAACTGAGCCTAATCACTCGCCACTAGGTAGTCCTGTCCCTACCACTGCTGCTTAGATGCGTTTCAATGCTTTTAAGTGAGTGTGAGAATTGCCATTATTGTCGTGCTTTCAAATATATTTGCCTATAATCCCAGCACTCAGGAGGCTGAGACAAGAGAATCACCATTAGTTCAAGGCCTACCTGGGCTACATAGTGAGTTCAAGGCCAGCCTGAACTACAGAGCGAGGTCCTGTCTCAAAAAGAAATACATAGATACATAAACAAATATACTGGGTTTTATTTCTTCTTTCTGATCCTGAGGATTAAACCTAGAGCCTTGGCACTGAGCTAATCCCCAGTTATTTTTATCTTGTTTTGTTTTGTTTTCATTGAGTTTATTGGTACTTTTTAGGTCAGTTACATTCATCATTGGGATCTTGTACCTTTACATACCAGATCTTGGTTCTCATTTTTTCCCCATACCCCTGCCTTCCCTTCACCCTCTCCACCTTCTACTATTTGCAAAGTAGTTTCCATTTTTCCATTTGTTTCCATTTTTTCCTTTTTTGTTTTATTTTTTAAATTTTGACACAAGGTTTTGCTAAGCTGCCCAGGCTAGGGTGAAACTTGAGATCCTCCTGCCTCAGCCTTCCAAAATGCTGGGATTATAGGCCTGTGCCACAAGGATGTACAGTAGTACCATAGGATGCACAGCCATTCAGTGATAGAGTACTTGCCTAGCTTGTAGGGGACCCTGGGTCCATCTCTGACACTGCAAAAAAAAAGTTATACACACACGTATAATATATATTTTCATTCCCACGACTATAATTTAGGAAATGGCTGCTGCCACTGCTCTTGGTCTCTGACACCTCCGTGGGCCATGTGGGCTGTTACTCATTCAGGAAGCCTAGATGGGGAACAAGGTGGTGTACTGGCTTCTTACACAGCAACCCTAAGGAGCCTGAATGCCAGGCAGAGCTGGGCCCCTGGGCCAGTGTGACCCTGCGTGTGAAGGCCCCACCCACAGTCACTGAACCAGGCCGGTGGCCGTTGGGCTACCTGGGCTGATGGGTGGGGAGGAGCCCAAGGAAGCTCACATTTGAATGCAAGGCCCGGCTCTGTCAGACAGAGGCAGAGAGGCGGCACTGCCTGGGCAGGATCTCCTGGGCCAAGGCTTCGGGGAGTGAGGAAGGCACTGGACAGCACCATGGACAGGTGAGGGGCGGGCGGAGCCCTGCGCTTGGGGTTCCCACTGCCGTGCATACAGAGCTGGCCACTGGCCCTGGTCCCTCTCAGGTCTGCCTGCTCTCAGCCTGACTCCTCTCTCGGTCTCTGTCTCTCTCCTCTCTCTGTTCTACATTGCAAAGGAAGGGTCGTGTGTGACTCACTGACTGGTCCTGAGATTTATGGCACAAGTGGAAGTAGTTTATGGCAGTGATATCAGCAGGAGATCTTTACAGACTCAAATTGTGAAAAGGTCATGTCAGCGCTGTGCTAAAAACAGCGGTAGTCATTTTTATAATCATTTTGTAAGTATTCAACAACAAAGCCACTCAAAGACAAACTTGCCTAGGGAGATTTTGTTCAAATAACTTAGCTATAGTAGGGAAATTGGTGTTTTCTTATAATGCCGAGCATGCAAGATTAATTGCTTGACTTCACTGGAGCAAGTTATTTAATGCTACAGGGCCAATTGTTCAGCAACTTAAGGCATTTTTGCTACTTTCCACTTAGCTCGCTTCTTAAATGTGGTTCTATAAGATTTTCACAGTGTCTTCACATGCAGGTTTAATAAGTTATTAAGACGCAGCTTATTCTGGTTTAGGTTTTTTTGTTTAGTTTTTTGTACCAGGGATCGAACTCAGGACCTTGCGCTTGCATGGCAGGCGGCAGAACCACTGAGCTAAATCCCAGCCCTGTTCTATTCTTATTTTCATGATCACTATGAATGTCTGAGAATTGTACCTAATCCACATATTTCATCTTAGTTTAATTTTTTACAAAAAAATTTACACTACAAAGATAAGAACTTTGACAGCAGGGCAGGGAGCGTGGCTTGGGGATTACCGGGTGGTAAAAGCACTCACTCGCCTGGCAGGTGCAAGGTCCTGGGTTCAGTCTCTAACACTGCCAAAGTGGAAGCAGGTATAAGTCTGGTACTGCTTGCACAGAATGAGATGCAAACCAAAATCAGGGGTTAGAATTCAGAGAAAGACCCAGAAGGAAGGCGAAAAGACGGAATCCAACTGGAGAAAACAGTAACAGCACGGGGAAGGCCACATCTGCAGAGCTGGTGAGGTGGCTGGTGGGTGCGTGGGTAGTATTATTTTTAACCCACCTGTCCCTGGTTTGCATCTCAGGGCTGCAGCTCGTGCCCTGCCCCAGGGGACCCAGCTGTGTGACAGCTGTCAACCTGCTGCCTGAGAAGCTACCAGGACAGGGGGACTCTGGAACTCCCTCACCTATAATCCCAGCACTATGGGAGGCTGAGGCAGGAGTATCACAAGAGAGACCAGCCTGGGCAACAGCCTGGGCAACTGAGAAAGACCCTGTTTCAAAAAAAAAAAAAGAAAGAAAAGAAAAGAATAAGAAAATGGGGATGTAGCTCAACACTTCCTGGGCTTATTCCCTAGCACCGCAAAACAAAACAGCAGACTGGGTTCCAAAATTTTTTTTTCTTCTCTCTTCTCATAATTAAGAACCTATTCTGTGCTGAGTTTAGACACACTGAGGAATTACGTGCTAACTATGCAATAGTAATTGTCATGGCACGGTTGCGATTGTCATAATAATTTATTATCCTTCTAAAATAAAGCCAATTATCATTGGACTTTGTTAGTATGCATTTTGGATTCCTGCCTGTTATGCTTTTTTTTCCTGGTGCTAAGGATTGGAACTTTAACTTCATTTACTGTACTTTTAAAAGAATACAGTCGACTGATTTTTATTTTGTTTTTTACCTTTTATGGTCCTGGGGATTGAATCCCAAGGCTTCATTCACTGTTAACGGGCTACATCCCAAGCCCTCCTTTATTTTTAATTTTGAGACAGGGTCTTGCTAAGTCACTGAGTTTCGCAGGTTGGGCTCAAACTTGAGATCTGCCTGTCTCTGCCTCCCAGAGTGTGGTGATTACAGGCCAGTGCCACCACACCCAGCTTGGTTTTTTTTTTCTTTCTTTTTTTTTTTTGGTACCAGGGATTGAACTCGGGTCCTTGCACTTGCAAGGCAGGCCACCAAACCACTGAGCTAAATCCCTGGCCTACTATATTTTTTGATATATGTAATATTTATGCTGATAGTAAATCTAGTTCTCCTTCTTAAGGTCTAATGTAAAATGCTTTCTGGTAATTTTTATGCATGTGAAATTGAAACCGATATTGGCACTTGCCCTAGATACTCTGTCCTGGATTTTCTGCAGAATAAAATTGACACTGAGACAGCTATCTTTAAGGTCGGGATTTAATCCTCTGAATCATACTCCGGGATACTGTTATCAGTGAGGCTGTGAGCAGTAAGCCGCCTGCTGGAGTCTCCGGCCGGGGAGCCGCGGGGGTGTCAGCTCGGGGTGTTTACATCTGCCGGAGTTCCAGAACTGTGGGCTCAGTTTACTGTATGTAAATGACACCTCCGTGTAAAAAAAAAAAAAAAAAAAATTAAAGTTTCAATTCTCTGCCGGCAAACCGTATTCAAATTCGCTTCACAAATTCCCTGCACTTCTACCTCTCACCACTAGGAGGCAGCACCTCACCCCCCCACATTGGATAAAACTCGGACAAGATGAGGGACAGGGGGCTAGAGACACACACGGCCTTCCTGGCACCCACGCAGATCGCTCATGGCTCGGTTTTCAACTGTAACGAGGACTGTGGGTCGCTTTGAGCAAACCTGAGAGCGTTTCTGTAGATTGGATGCAACACAGTGTACGCGACACGCCAGCTGCTGCACTAGGAGCAAAGACCAGGCTCGATCCCAGCGCGAATCTGGGAAAAACAGCAAAGCCTTAAGGTTTTATCGCAGTGGAAAAGACCAGCGCAAGGGCTCAGGGGGTGGCTCAGGGGGAGATCCCCGGCCAAGGACTCATGAGGTCCTGGGTTTCATCCCAAGCACTGCGGGGGAGGGGGACCCAGAAAGAAAAGAAAAGGCTAAAAGCCAACAGAGTACAAATTCCTTGTATGTGATGAATATATACGCAAACCATGTAAATATGCACCCAGGTCAGCCAGGTGTGGTGGCGTATGCCTGAAATCCCACCACTCAGGAGGCTGAGGCAGGAGGATTGTGGTGGTGAGTTCAAGGCCAGACTGGGCTACATGATGAGAGCCTGTCTCAAAGAAAAAAAGATTAGTGGGAAAACTAGCATTTTAGCTGTCACGGTCATTACACAAAATGCTTCATTATCATTGTTAGACATTATGACTGATATCCTAGATTTTGTCTTTAATATTTAAAAATTTAAAACTTTACATTCGTTTGGAGTATTCCAATTTTATCATATTTAAGTGTCTTACACATGGAAAGCATAGTTTAACATGACACTCTAATGGAAAACGTCTAATTGAGGACTCTGAGACATCGGCAAGTGATAAATTGGAAAATAATAGGACAGCAGAGGAGGGCAGCTGTTAGATTTTTGCTTAAAATTTTTGGAATAATGGCTGGGTATGGTGGCACATGCCTGTAATCCTAGCACTACAGAGGCTGAGGCAGGAGGATAGCTTTGAGTTCAAGACCAGCCCAATCTACACAGCGAGACCCTGCCTTAACCCCCCCAAAATTACAAAATACAAAAATAAAAGAAAAAAATGGGGATAATAGTGGTGAGGAAGCTCTTGTTTTGCTTTGTTGATGGTATGAGTCTTTGAACTGAAGGCCTTGTGTTGAGCTGCATCCTCAGCCCCTTTCTGTCCTGAGTCAGGACGCCACTAAATCATTAAACTGCCCAGGCTGAGCTCAAAATTGTGATCCTCCTGCCTCAGCCTCCCAGAGCTTGGGGTGACAGGTTTGCAGCACTGGCGTGTGTCTGAAAGACCTCACTAGGAGAGTTGAAGCCGGGGCGGCTCTGAAGACGTGTAGGTTTTGCGGGGGGCGGGGCTCTAAACAGCCTGGGGTGCCGCTCAGTGGTACAGCGCATGCGTGAGAACCTGGTTCCAGCCCTAGCGCCACAGAAAAGTTAAAGGGGGACAGCACTCAGCCGGAGGGAAGGGGCCCGCAAAGAAAGCGCTGAGGGGACTCGGGCCAGCTGCCCGGCGGCCAGAAGCAGCGGGAGTGCAGGGAAGGGGCCGGGATGTCACTTTGGGGTCCCACAGAAAGGCCTCCCCCTCGGGCCTGTGCAATGGGGTTTGCACATTTTTTTTTCAGTTTTCAGGTGGTGTTTGAAAAACTGAATCACATGTTTCATCGTTCGTTCTCCGGGTTGCTTCCTCCTCCTTGGTTCTGACCTGGAAAGGTCTCTCTTTTCAGGCACAGCCTGCACCCCTAGACCAGAGGCACAGAGGGGAGGTGGAGCAGGGCTGTGGGACGACGACGGTGTGCAGGGCCTTGGGGCGAAGCCCTAGCACCACGCGCACACACGCACACACACACGGTGTGCAAAACAAGTGCCCTGGATCAAAACTTTACCTGACACAGGACGCCTGAGAAACAGGCCCACGGCCGTCTGAGGCAGCCTGGCAGTCTAGCGCGGGCCTGGGACCTGGGGACAGAGCTTGGGGCCCAAGAAGCCAGGTCAGGTCCTCAACCCCGGGCAGCTCGGGGGTCCCTAAGCGCAAAGGCGCTGGGGTCCTCACCGGAAGTGGGAGGGGATTCGGTGGTTCTCCAGCCCCGTGGGCCTCGGCACCCAGACGGGGACAGCGTCCCCAAGGTCACCCCGGCCACGACCCCGGTGCCCTCCTCTCCGCCCACAGCCTCCTGATGAAGCAGAGGAAGTTTCTCTACCACTTCAAAAACGTCCGCTGGGCCAAGGGGCGGCACGAAACCTACCTGTGCTATGTGGTGAAGCGGCGGGACAGCGCCACCTCCTTCTCCCTGGACTTTGGCCACCTGCGGAACAAGGTACTAGCGTCCCAGGCCCCGCGGGTCTCCACAGCCCCTTCCCCGCTGGACACAGCACTGGGCGTCCCGCAGGGCCCCTACACCATGGCTTCTCCCAGTGCCAACAAGAACTGCCCCCCAATTTCTCTCCCCTCTCCCAGCCCCGGAATCACCCGGAGAGCAAGGTAAGCACTTTGGTTTTGGGGAACATTATCAGGCTGTTCCAGCAAATTTTATTCATTTGTTTATTTGCTTTTACTGTGCTGGGGATGGAGCCTGGGGCTCTGCACATGCTATGCAAGCGCTCCCCCCATGAGCTGCCTCTCAGCCCCTCAAAGTGGAAAAAAACAAACTGGCTCTTTAGAATTTTTGAACGTCAAAGAAGAAAATTTTGGGAAAAATTACAGTGCCAAGTGTAGCGGCGCACGCCTGTAGTCCCAGTCTTCAATGGGCTGAGGCATGAGGATTGCCTTGAGTTCAAGGCCAGTCTGAACTACACAGTGAGACCCTTTCAAAAAACCAGAAGAAAAGAAAAGTTACAATGACTCAGTTCTGTTTTCCAGATGATTTGTTTCTTCCCACTTACACAGATCACAGGCAGTAAATGTGTTCAACGTGGTGAGGCCGGAAAACTCTGAGAACTCTGAGTTAATGAACTCAGTCTTTCACCTGCCTGAGAAAGTGGCATTTCCGGACTCCACCCCATCCAGTGGGCTCGCAGAAGCGCCCCTGGCTGTCCCATAATGTGCGGTGCCCGGCGGAAGCCGGGGATGGGTAGGCGCCCCGAGTCCCTGGCCTTTCCTCTACCTGTGATTTTCTTCGCCTATGTTTATGCTGAGAAGCTCACCTCGTCCTCACGCTGCACTCCAGCTTCTGTGCGGGCAGCGCTGTCACTGACCTTAGTGCTTTGGCTCCGGCTCATTTTAGCAGTGAGAAAGCAGACGCCAGAGCCGGAACCTTGTCAGTCTAGTAGTGGGACTAGAAAACCGGCCAGGCCTTCAGGACCTGCCCGAGAGAGAGACAGCGTAGGAGCAGGCCTGGGATCTCACTCTGCAGTCATCATCACAGACCCTGCAGGGCTTGGTCCGCGGGGTCTGGCGCCTCCTGGTGGCCCGGTGCGGTTCCGCAGCTCCCGCCCGCGGACCCGGGGAGAGAGC